CACTGTGACCGACCTTTTGGAGATGAGAAAGGCCCAACAAACAAAAAAACTTGGTATCGAGGAACCATAAATTTCGAACGTGTTTCACATTAAAATGCGCCTGCTGTGCACGTGAAAGAATAGAGAGTGTAATGTGTTACCGCAACACACATGAATGATGATACTACAACAACACTATTTAACTACAGCTGGAATTACCGTCCGAATTTAATGTAGATAACCGAAAGCTGACTTCTCAAAAACAGTGCCACACCACTTGTGTGCTTCTCTCGAGAGATAATATAATTTCTCGAGTGTGTTTGATTTTGTGTTCAACCCAACGATACATTTCGATTTTTACCATTTGCTGGGCAACACACCACAAGTGTTTGACACGAAAAAATGAACCAATCTCTTGCTTTGAAGATTATTCCGTTCCTTGATGTGCATCTCATGTTTCCTTTGCTTGAGTTTCTTGAGCAAAATGAGGTATGTGTTGTTATCTTGTCATGATTGTATATATATTAATAACATCATAATGGATATATTTTAAATACTATGATTATTAATATATATTCGTGATGATTATGGCTTGATGTGCAATATTCTTGTTTTTTATTGTTTATCATCATCAATATTCATTATTGAAACTTAAAACATCAATTTTCCAACTCTCTTCAATATAGATTTATCCAAAACAACAAGTACAACTTGCTGCTTATGAATTAAGTAAAAGACCAAGATGTTGGACTTCCAAAAGAAAAAACAAGAAGAACTTGGAAGCGAAGCAAACATCACTCCAATCGACTACCAAAAGAGGAGAAGGAAATTTTGGATCAAATCGAGAATTATAAACAAGTATGCGAGCCACTTCTTACCAAATTGAAAGAGTATAATCAAAACAAGGAATCTATCAAGGAGTCCTTGCAAGTTTATCTTTCGGGAGATAGTAGAATTAAACCTGAAATGTTAGACAAGCTCTATGACTATGCTAAATTCATTTATGAAACAGGAGATTATGAAACTGCTGCTGCTTTGTTGTCCGATGTCAAACAACTCTATGGGGAAGTTAATATCGACAAGGCATACATGACGGCTTGGGGTAAATTAGCAAGTGAATTAATGTGTAAGGAATGGGAAAGCGCTAGTGCTGCGTTAAATGATTTGAGAGAATTGATGGAGAACAGATTCCAACAAATGTTGCAACACGAAAGATCATCAGCAAATGCTGCTGCTTCTTCAACTGCACCAGTAACTACTCCAATCACTAAGAGTGGTGTTAAGAGCGTTGAATTGGATCTCATCAATGCTAGATGTTGGTTCATTCATTGGTCCCTCTTTGTTGCTTTCTTCGACCAAGCCAATGGATACAAGGTATTCTTAGACCTATTTTTCCCTTATCCAGCTGGAACTTCTCACCCACAAACAGACCTTACATCTAACAGGTATATTTCTGCTCTCTTCCAAAGCAATTCTTCATATATTCTTCGTTATTTGGGTGTCATCATAATTTTGAAGAAACGTAATAAGACTTATTTGAATGGATTGGTTAAGTTTATGGAACAACATTTGATTATTAGGTCCGATTTTCAACAACAAGATGAACTCTTGAGTGATCCTGTTATTCAATTTATTTATCAATTGAATGTCAACCATGATTTCAAGGCTGCTTATGAGACTCTGATGACATGTGAAAACATCCTTAAGAATGATTATTTTACTGCATCACATGTTAAGGAATTTATGAATCAAGGCAAAAATATGATTTTCGAAAGCTATGCAAAGGTTTCACATGTATTCGCTTATGGAGATGCTTCAAAGACTGATTTCCCACTCGACGAAGAATTTATCACCTCAGCCATCAATTCGTTGAAGATTCAAGCAACAGTGGATTCTGAACATCATCGTGTGACAGTGAAGAAACATTTGCCAAATATCTATCAACAAATTTTGGAACGGACAGAAGAATCAGCTCAGAAAACTCATAACATTGCCGTCAACGTTAAGAACCTTCAAGCTCAAAGACAATCTAAACATTAAACGTAGCTACAATATTTATTTGCAACTAATTGTTAAAGTTCTGGAAAATTCTCATCTGATTTTGTTGCATTGTGTTTGCAGAAGTTGGCAGAATATAAGGTTGTTGGTGGTTGGTGGAGCTGTTGTTGCTAGGTTGCATCATGTATTGTCTTTGCTGGTTGAGAGCTTGGTGCTGAATTGGGGGATTCGAGACATTCATT